GCAGCCGCGCCGCGCCCCTGCGGCTGTCGCCCTGCGCGCGCGGCAGTTGATTCGAATTTGGCGCCACGCTTCGAACCGCTCACTTTCGCTGCTCTTTGAAGGCGTTGTACAAGAAAATATCATACACTTCAAACATCCCGCCGCGGAGTCATCTTGCTCAAAAACCGCGCGATTTCCTTCCCAATTGACCAAACATTCTCTTTTTTCTACAAAGTTCTTTGACATAGATTGTCAGCTGCTTTCTGTTAGTTCGAAGAGTCACCAAGAGATCGCACCCTCTCCTCGGCTACCGCAACGAAAAATTTATCTATTGTCAGATTTCTCGGAATCCAATTTTTTCCACGTCAGGCGCGACGAACTCGCATTGTTATGAAAATCAGAGGAGCCTCGAGTAGTTTTGTAGCGATTGTGCACAGAAGCTAAGTGAAACGTGTTTTCTGCGCATTGAAAGTTTGATTCGGAACGCTGCCAAGTAATTCCCAGCACATTTTTGCAGTCTACGTGACTTCAAACGCCAAGACGCGACGTGCATAGACACTAAGCGTGAGATTCGTAAAGAAAACGTTATTTTCTCCCAGACGGAGTTAACTATGACAATCTCTTTAATACTTATTGATTATTCCGGCAAAATAATAACCTTTGCCAATTATGGCTTATGGTTCTTTTCCAGAACTCTGTCTGATGAGAACTTAGAAGGCGATGTTCGTTGCAGTTTCTGCTAATGCTCTCCCAATTCATCTAAGCAATATTTTACAGTTTCAACAACATTCATTAGAATAAAATCATTTATTTCCTTCGAAAATATTTAAACCTTCTTCACGTATTTTAGTTATATGCATAAAGAAGTTAAAATATACAAAAAATTCACTTCTTGGTCATATTAAGTAGAACGATGCTGTATTACGACTGGTAAGACGGCGTAGTGTATGAGGCCGCGACGAACGCTGGATTGACCAACACGTCGTGATAGCGCATTTAACACGGAGCTGCGCTACTGTATAATACTTATTGTCGCGTGGCCGCAGACTGTCGTGGAGGAAGTCTGACACCACATGAGGGGGGAGGGGTGAAAGGACGGTAGGGGCAGAAGGGTTCCTCCAGGCCGTTCGCTTTTCTCCTGTGGGCCTATGGGAGGGAGCAATGAGAACGGGAATGACCGAGGTCATGACAAAGAGCAATTTATGCAGGGAAAGCATCGGCCAATCAACCATCGAACCTTCTGATGAAGTGGGGGAAGGGGTCCGTCGGAGCAGCGGTACCGCGCCGCCCTGACGCAATCGGCAGTTGCAGAAAAATACCTTTCCAGCCTCCGTTGAGACATACTAGACCTTGATCGACATTGAGATTTTGGGAATTTTTGATAATTTTCACAGACTCGTTTACCCTTCTCGGACCCCAGCTGTCTTGCCTGGTCAGGATCCGGGTGTTATAAAAAAGAATGGCATGGCCACTTTTCCATGAGTGGGGGGCTAGGACTGATTTATTTGTATTATTATTCTTCTAATGTCGTGAACACATTCGCCACTACATCGGCCTGATTCACCGTTGCGTTCTACGCGTTGTCCAATCGCTTCATGGGTAGAGGAATGTTCTGTATAATCCTGTGCGCTGTCAGGATCCGCGCGCATTTCGCCCTGAAGAAGGTCGCAAAATGACGGCCGAAACGTTCGCCCCTGTGCTTAGGACGCGGCGTCTCCCGGTCCGCCGAATAGAATCGAGTCTAAAGAAAACTGGGTGTCGAAATCGTCAATGCAAATCATAAATGCAATACATTTTACTAAATACTATTTAATAATGCTTAGTTTTGTTAATTTAAGTTTGTTTAAAACAGTTATTTATCCAACGAAATGAATATTTGTGTAGCAACAATAGGATAAATTCATTGCAAGTTACGTATTGTAAAGAGTTTGGAAGAGGAGAATCACATGGCTCTGTTTGCTTTTGTTATTTTCTCAAAAAAAGTTCGAAATTTTGTCTTTAAATTGTTCTTAAAAGAACAAAATACACATACAAAAGAATCTATGTAAAATCTTACGTAAGAATTACAAAATCGTATGTTACGGAAAAGTCTGTTTTGCTCTTATAGCACTACTGATTTTATTTTATTTTGAATCCACACTTATTTTTGTCATCGTTTTAGATTTTTGTGTTATTATTTATGTTAAGAATAATAGTATAATTATTTTAAAATTAATTATAATTAATTAAGATGATTTGGATCGAAATATTAGCACTTCAATAAATTACTTATTTTTTCATGTAATGCAAATTTATTTTGTATACTATGATGTAAGAATATATAGTTTTACCCAGCGCACATTACTGTTCGGCTATTTTATAATGCATCATGCACTTTTGAAGCTGTATGTTTCAAAATTACTGATGTGTTTCCTAAGACTTATCAGAGCAAGAGTTAAAAATCGTTTGACGTGATGGAGTGTAAACGATTGCTGTTCCAATTAAATATTAAACCAGATATGCACTATCATATTAAAAAACTGCAACAACTATACTTACAGAACTAGTCAGTGAAGTGTTGAGACACATTTTATCCAGATTATCACTGCTACATAAATTCCTTTCCGCTTTTATACAAGTTATAAGGCACAAGAGGACAATTGTTGAAAGATCAGCAATCATTATCAATAGGCAAATCTGTCCTTCGGAAAAAGATATCGGAAAAATATCATTCA